AGAGAATCCGTTTTACTGAACGGCGCCGAATCTCCCCAAACAGTTGTAGGTGCGAAGTTATCGCAGTTCTCGACCGACGGGGACAAGCGGCTTCCCCAGGATTGCCTGTCTCTGTAGAGCGGGTTGTCATGCGGGATGTTCTGCCAGTCTGATGCGGAATCAGCCACGCAGTCAAACACCTCATAAGGCAACAGCATGTGCGCAGTGTCTGTGTATTTTGTCGAGGTCTCAGCATCCCATATGTCGATATCAAACTCGTACACGGGTGGCATGGTAGAATATTTATTCAACTGTCTGACAAGGTCTCTGTGAGAATGTTGCGTCCTCTCAGGACGAGCACTCGACGATGACGAGCCCGCATTTGCATTCAGAAATTCCTGCGCATCTGGAGCGCTGAGTGCGCCAGCTTTGAATTTCTTCGCCACGAGCTCGTGCACTGCATCTCTGTCTGGCCGTTCCCGCTGAAGCGGCGGCCGAGAGAATGTCGCCCCGAGCTTCTGGCGAATGCCGCCTTGCAAAACCATTGAGCCAAAATGGGCTACGATGAACGGATGTTGCTGATGAGATTGGTCGGGCCCGTCTTGGAATTAAGTCTGGCCTCCAAATAGCATTTTCGGTGCCTCTTTGGGGTTCCCACGTGCACTTCTCCAGAGCTTGTTTCAGAAATGCTTCTTTTGAGCGTGCGTCGGTTCTGTTCGAATTGGCTGAACTGATTTGGATCTTAATCTCAAGCTGTCCAGGCTGGCCTCAGGAACTTCATCGTGTACTTCCGAAGTCGTTGTAGAAGGAGCAGGAGGAGGAGCAGGAGGAGCACGAGGAGCAGGGGGAGGAGGAGGCGGAGGAGGAGGAGGAGGAGGAGGAGGGTTTGGGCAGCTTTTGAACACAAACAGTTGTTTAGAAAACTGTTGTTTCCAAATGACGGGGAGGAGGGGGAGGAGGAGGAGGAGGAGGAGGAGGAGGAGGAGAGGATAAGGAGGAAACACTATGTTTATTCTGGGTTGTTTTTTATGCATACGTTGCGTTCACCATGTGCGTGTGTGCGGGGGGGGGAGGGGGGCCGTCGTTTACCCCAGACAGTGGCGCCCTCGGTGGAGACATTTTTGCTAGCCAAACGCGTTCGGAACGCTTGCGTGCCGCTCTTGTCTGGGAGGGGGCGGGGGTGGCGAGGGAGGAAGCGGAGGGTCGCAGGAGAATATTATTCATCTGCGTCAGTTGTGCGGCAGGCAGGGGCGGTGCTCGCCCCCAAACGCCTCGATGCATGAACTACCACGGCATCGGAAACTGCGCTATAAGAAGCGCCATTGCACTGGCACGTAGTGTAACGCTCGGCAGCACCAGTACTCGTTCACTTGATGCTCTGAAAGTCGGCAAGCACGTTCTTCCGATAAGCAGTGTAGCTGTCCTCCAGAGCCTTCTTCGCACTCTCGAGCTTGACAGTCTCCTGCTCAATGGCTTCAGTGCTCAGGTCAGCCAGGGTCACGTTCTTCGCTTCGGCCCACGTCTTGAAGAGAGACTCGCACTCCGTAACCTGCGTGGCCGTCTGGGTCGTCAGGAAGTTGATCGGGGCCTCTCCCCACCCTTTACGCTCGAGCTTCTGCTTGACCAATGCCACCATCCCGAGCTCCCTGGAGACCTTATCGTGGTACGTCTTAGTCGTCTTCGTGGCGGTCTCGAACTTCTCGATGGCCTCCTTCTTAGCCTTCTTGCGCGGCGTCATGTCGACGGGCTGGGGGTCTGGACGAGGGTCTCCAGGCTGCGTCCTCCTCCTCTTATTCCCAGGCCCGCCACGCCTGGCATCTGGCCTCGGGGTCACGACCTCGGCGTCCTCCATGTGCTCTCTCACGTTCTGCACGTCTTCTGGCTCCATCTCTGCCTTGGTTTCGAGCGTAGCCTTCTTGCTCGTCCTCTTGCCGTGGAGCGTCTTGTACTTGGTGTAGTTGTACTGCTTCACCCCCTCCTCCTGCAAGGCCTGGTTGCCCTTAAATGGGCGTGAGATCATGGTCCTGACGGCGATGCTGGCGTGCCTCGGGTTATTGAGGTAGAGGGGCCCACCCAATTGGTCCTCTGTTACCCACTCGTCCTCCTCCATCTCATCGTCGTACACTTCTCTCTCGACCGTATTGGCGATGGTGGTGATGCCACACTCGGGATCGACCATGAAGGCGGCGAGCCAACGACGCTTCTCGAGGTCGTCGGTCATCTCCTGGTACTTTGCGCACTCCGCAGGCCACTCGTTTTTCAGAGTCGTCCCCAAGCTAGAGAAAGCAGCCCTGCGCTTGTTCCGATCGAGGGCAGCGATCCCGTCCGCATCCACATCCTTGCCGAGACCTTTCATCTGCGCGATGGCGTCCTGCATAGGCTTAGGAAGCTGATTAGGCGCGCGCTTCGGCGCCATTCTCGAAAGAAGAGTGTGAGCAACTATTTTCTCACAAACGAAGCAAACCAACTCGAGCCGAAAGTGCTACGGAGTGCCGGAGGAATGGGATCCCAGGCCGGGAAAATTTGCCATCGTTCCGGAGGTCGGGCCCCCTTCAGTCGGACTCACAGAGCGAAATATCTTTGTCGGATCCTCTAATTGTCCTTCAGGGCAGGGCCTCTAGGGCAGGGCCTCTGGCTTCGGATCAGTTAGGACTCCATCTGGTGGCGACATGTCTGACGTATCTCTAACGCATCTCTAACACATCTCTAACACATCTCTAACACCCTGAGCTGTTAGAGATAAAAGTATTGAAAAAACAAGGTTTCCTATCTCTAACAGCCTGGGTGTTAAAGATGTGTTAGAGATGTGTTAGAAATAGAGGTCTGCGTTGCTACATGTTGATTCCATTAGCCCGTCGCAAATTGATGTCAGTGGGGCAATTCTTGGTTCCAATAGCCCGCCTTCAGTTCTTTCGGTGCAATGGCCTACTTCAAACGATTCCATTGGCCCGTCTTACGTTGACTCCATTGGCCCGTCATATGTTGATCCCAGTGGCAACGTTATGCTGATTCCCGTGTTCCGAACTGGTTTGGATCTCAAGCTCAGGTGTCGAGGGACTGAGGCTTGCTTGTTTGATTTGGATCTTAAGCTCAAGTGTCGAGGGACTGGGGCTTGCTTGCGTGCGTGGGGGTTGGGGATGGCGCGCGAACTGATTCGGATCTTAAGCTCAGGTGTCGAGGGACTGGGGCTTGCTTGCGTGCTTGCGTCCTCCTCCCTCCAAGCCCGTGGCAATTTTATCCTCCTCCTCCTCCTCCTCCTCCTCCTCCTGCCCCTCCTCCCCCTCCTCCCCGTCCTGAACAAACTGCCCAAACCCTCCTCCTCCTCCTCTTCCTCCTCCTCCTCCTCCTCCTCCTCCTCCTCCTCCTCCCCCTGCCCCTCGTGCCCCTCCACCGTTCGTTGCTAGTTTGGCACAAGTAAGCTTGGATCAAGCGTGCTTTGTTCGAGGGTATTCGTCCTGAGACAACGAATGATTAGCTGGCCAACGGGGTCATGTTGCATGCTGTGCTTTGTTCTTGTGTTGTTTTTTTGGTCAAGCGGCTGCGCTGCACGACCCTCCCCTGCAACGGCAAACTGAAACGAAACTAAGGCGGATCCAGAGTGTCATTCGCAATGGCCGAGAGCGTGGCCAAGGCTTCATCCTCAGAATCATCCGAACACTCGCTATTGGCAATCCTTCGAAGCTGATCGAGGCACGCCTGGGTCTCTTCATCGGGATCATCGGGCGAACTCTCCTCTACAGACTGGCGCTCGTCGCCAGCAACATCGCCCATCTCCACGTCGACGAGGTCGATAACGTCGACGGGTTCGACGGCAGCGGCATCCTGAATGACCTCGGAATAGTTGATGGAGCCACCGTCGTACCGCATGCACTCTACGAACATGGGCGGCTCATCAGGGGAAACGTCTCGCCCACAGCACAAGAAATGAACACCTGCACGAAAATCGATCCCGTAGACGAGAATGCCATGAACGGGGCATTGAACGCTCTCCCGAGTCATCCAGCTCGAGCCCAGGCTAGGGTCAGTGTCCTCCAGGATCCGCCCGCAGGCGTTGCACACCCACGAGCCCAACCACACGCCAGAGCCAGCCACCATGTGGGTGCCCCAAGTCATCCGTCGGTCCGTGGGGTCTGAAACAGATTCACAGCACAGCGGCGCCACATATCGCGGGCAAGGTGGCCGTTGGCCTCCTTCTGGCTCCGCTGGTGGCGCTGGGCCGTCAGGTATCTGAACTGGCCGCACGAGGTGGACCTGCTTGTCGAATTGAGACTGTTCCAGAATTGACCACTCCCGACGACACAAAGGGCATGAAGGGCGCGAGTCAGTTACCATGTATTGCGCAAGGCATTGCAAGTGCACCTCATGGCAGCACGCATACCTGATGAGCGGCTCTGCGCCGATGCGCTCAAAGCAAACGGAGCACTCCGAGCTTTGGTCCCACATGGCTATGGCTACGGCAGGGGCTGTCGGCTTGTCGGGCCGTGCTTGACGAGACTCTCAGGCCGGCCTTTTTTTTAGGATTTGGTTTGCCAGGCCGTGCTTGGCGAAACGCTTGGGGCGATGCTTAGATGACTTGTTTTGGCGTTTGGCTTGTCGGGCTGTGCCTGACGAAATTCTCGGGGGCGGCCTCTTATTGAAGGGGGAACGCCGCGCGGCCCATGACAAATCCCACTGCACCTGCAGATTATATTCTTCCCATGTCGGCACCGCCCCTCACGCGTTTCGTCCTCTTCGCCATGCACATGGTATTGGGTTTGCTCAGCTGCAGATGCCTGTCTTTGTTTGTTCGCCTTGTATTTTGGGTTTGCTCAGCTGCGATGCGGTTATGTTTGCATGTTTTCGGAAACGCCCTGGGAGCTCTGAGGTCCTGCGAAGTACTCTGACATATTCTGGGGCCCTCAGGGTTCTCCTCTGAAATCCTCTGAAGCCTCAGAAGGAGGACAGAGGAGAAAGGGAGGAGAGGGGAGTGAGGAGGGTCTGCCAATGGAGCGCGGATGCTGCTCTTTCCTGTTTTTGTGGATCGGGCCCACGTGCAGCTCACATGTCTTTCTCTATGAGAAGATTCGTATGCATGACAACTGCTTTGACTACGGCCCAGGCTGCGCCAATATCATCACCCCAACCGACATTCAGATCGCCTTTCTTATTGCAGACCAGCTCGAGGTCTGAGAGCTCCTTCGGGATCTCAGCCACTCCGTTGATGTAGAATGCGCTCTTGGTTGCGAGGACGGACACGGTGCAGGGCCCATCGAACGGCTTCACAGTCCAAGACTTCTTCCCTTCCAGTGGCCCTGGGGGATGGAGCTCACGGGGAATCACGCTCAGGTCGATCACTGGGGCTCCCTCAGCGGCGGCAGGAGCATCCTCCTCAGGCTCTTCCTCCTCCTCTCCCGCAGCCGCCTCCTCTGGAACGTCTGCTGCATCAGCGGGATGTAGAACTGCGAAGGCAGCCGCTGGCTTGTGCTTGACTGCTGCTGGGCGGCGCTTGACTCGGACATCGGCCTCTGCAGCAGCAGCTGGCCGTTTCATGTGTGGCTTCCCCTTCGCCTTTGCTTGTCCTTTTCCCTTTGGCCTGGGTTCAGGAGGCACTTCAAAAGGCTGTGGGCGCTTCAACTGCTTGCCATCATCTGCAATGTATTGATTTGGAATCGTTGTAACCCAGGATTCGGAACCTCCCCAACTGGCAATAGCGAATCCACCATCGCCTGCGGAATAGGACGAAGCAATGACCTTGCACCCGTCGCTGAGAAGCTTGACCGCCATCGCCTCCGTGGCTGTCATCTCGATTTGTTTCAGAACCGTCACAGGTTTGTTATCATCATCTTCATCTTCATCTGGCAGCCGAAAAGCAGGTAGAGGATGCTTCTTCCTCGGATACTGGGGCGACATTCTGGGAGGCTCGTTGACGACGTCCTTCATGTGCGAGTATAGTGACCGAAGCCACTCGGGATGTGTTGTGGCAGCGTTCTGATCGATCTTGGTGAAGGCATCGTATTTTTCTCGAACGTGGGAAAGCACCACTCTGTATGTGTACGCAATGAGTGATATTGTGTGTTCGTTGTCCTCGTGGCCCTTCACCTGGGTGTACGAGTCGAACAAACCCTTCGAAGAATCTTCAACTGATAGTCGTTTGATAGCCTCGTGCACGTCTTTTTGCAGGAAGTGCCCTCCCCGAGGATCTAATTTGATGAGGTCCTCCAGCTCCGTTGCAAACTCCTTCATCTCATCAATATTGATCCCCTTTTTCATGTCTAGAGAACTGTAGACCCAGCCGCCATGATTCAGGTGGTGCGCAAACGTTTTTTTGAAAACAGGCACGAGGTCATCTGCAGCGTGGCCAGCATTCCACGCTTTCACCCCAACCATGTGTTACGATACACTGCCGTAGCCACAAAAACCTGACCGAGCCCAAATGTGGCTACGGACGCAAGGTTTGCAACGCATGTGTTGAACTTCTGTATCTGGACTACCTACGTGCGATGGCGACGAGGTGGGGGTCATGGCGAAATAACCCAAACGATGCAATCACAGTGCAAATCGTTGCAACGGGCCAGAAGAGCGCAACGCAGCACGCGACGAGAGTGAGAGAGACTGAGACGAGAGAGAGGAGGCAGGAAAGGTAGAGACCTA